GGGGTTTTACGTACCGAATTGATTGATTGATTGATTGATTGATTGATTGATTGATTGATTGATTGATTGATTGCCAATGTTTGATGATCCGTGCAATGAATGAATCAATTCGATTCGTTAATTAAATCGAATCTTAATCTTGATTCGATTCAATCAACGAATCAGATCCGATTCATTTATTGAATCGATCGATTTATGGATTGATTGATTGATTGATTGATTGATTGATTGATTGATTGATTGATTGATTGATCGATCGATTGATTTAAAAGAAAAGATTAAAATAAAAAAACAGGCAGCCCTCTGCTACGGCGCGATAAAAGAGGAGAGGGAAGAGGGGGAGAAGGAGACTTGGAAGGAGGAGGAGGGTAGCGGAGGAGGAGGAGGAGGAGCCCCTTCTCCCTCATGGCGACGTTGTCGTCCTCCTCCTCCTCCTCGACTTCCTCCTCCTCGTCTTCCTCCTCCTACTCCTCTTCCTCCTCTTCGTCCTCCTCCTTTGTGTCCTCCTCCTCTGTGTCCCGAAGAAAAAAAAATGAAAAAGAAAAGGAGATATACCTTTCCCCTTTCTGTTTTGGCTCAAAGTGCGATGCCGGAGGAGGAGGTGGAGGAGATGGAGGAGGACGAAGAGGAAAACAAGAAGAAGAAGAAGAAGAAGAAGATGAAAAGGAAGGAGAAGAAGAAGAAGAAGAAGAAGAAGAAGAAGAAGAAGAAGAAGAAAAAAGAAGAAGAAGAAAGAAGAAGAAGAAGAAGAAGAAGAAGAAGAAAAAGAAGAAGAAAAAGAAGAGGAGGAGGAGGTCAACAGAAAAATTTTCCAGAATTAAATAATCATTCTAGAGTAAAATTACATTCTAAATTTTAAAATTTCATTCCATCTTAAAAAATGTCATTCCAATTTTAAAATTTTCCGTCTTACTTGAAAATTTTCCTTCCAAGAATGAGGTATCCCTTCTTATTTGAACTGCATGCTAGAGATGGAATGAAAGTTTGGATGAGTTCATGAAATATTTTAATTCGTCTTCCATTCTCAGTAAGGATTTATAGTAATAAATAGGTTAATCCAATCTAAATTAGACGATATTTGTTGTAGTAGAATGAAAGTCTAATTAAAACATTTCATAAACTCGTCCAGACTTTCATTCCATCTTGAACAAATAGATGTAGTTGGAAGGGGAAGCTCATATTTAGACGGTAATTTATCAAATTAAATTGAAAATTTTAGAATTGGACAAATATTGGAATGATAATTTATAAATATGAAGGATTTTTTTTTCATTGAATATTTTTTCAACTTTCATTTCTCATGGGAGTTTTTATGTTGGTGGAGGAGAAGGAGGACGAGGACGAGGATGAGGACGAGGATGAGGACGAGGATGAGGACGAGGATGAGGACGAGGATGAGGACGAGGATAAGGAGGAGGAGAACAAGAGAAGAAGAGAAAACCGACAAATGAGAGGAGGAGAAAGACGAAGAACAGGAAAACGACAAAGAGGAGAAGAAGGAGGAGAAGGAGGAGAAGAAGAAGACGAAGAAGAAGACGACGACGATGAAGAAGAAGAAGAAGAAGAAGAAGAAGAAGAAGAAGAGCATGAGGAGGAGGAGGAAGAGGAGGAGGAGAGAAGAAGAGAAAAACGACAAAGAGCAGGAGGAGGAAGAAGACGAGAAAGTGAAAAACGACAATGAGGAGGAGGAGGAGGTTGAGGAAAAGAAGAAGGAGAAGAAGAAGAAGGAGAAGAAGAGGAGGAGGACAAGGAAGAAGAATAACAACAGAAAAAACTCCCAGAATTAAATAATCATTCTAGAGTAAAATTACATTCTAAATTTCAAATTTTCATTCCATCATCTTAAAAAATGTAATTCCAATTTTAAACATTTCCGTCTTACTTGAAAACTTTTCGTCCAAGAATGGGGTATCCCTTCTTATTTGAACAGTATGCTAGAGATGCAATGAAAGTCTTGATGAGTTCATGAAATATTTTAATTGGACTGCCATTCTAAGTAAGGATTTCCAGTCATAAATAGGTTAATCCAATTTAAATTAGATGAAATTTGTTGTAATAGAATGAAAGTAGTTAACGTGAGGGTCTGGGGGGGTAGTGCGCCCGACAGGGATGCAGACCGTCGACCACGATATTTTTTTCAAGGCCGCTAGGACCTTAAAAACGAAAAACAAAACGGCACGATCTGGACCGTCAGATCATGAAGATTGACGGCCCAGATCGGACCGTTTTTCAAATTCGAAACGGGGGTCGTCGTTGGGCACCTCGTACCAGAAGTGGGTGGGGACGTTCTCGACGAGCTTTGCCCCTTGTCGAACCTTGCTTGTCCAGTCCCGCGACCGTCGCCATCGCCCCGGTCCAGACGTCAATGAGGTGTGTCCCCTTCATCGTTTTCCTCCTCCTCCTCGTCCTCCTCCTCCCCCTCCTCCTCTTTTTCTTCTTCTTCTTCTTCTTCTTCTTCTTCTTCTTCTTCTTCTTCTTCTGCTTCTTCTTCTTATTTTTTTTCTTCTTTTTTTTCTCCTTCTCCTCCTCCCCCTCCTCCTCCTCCTCTTCATCGTTTTCCTCTTCTTCGTCTTTTTCCTCCTCTTCCTCCTTGTCCTCCTCCTCTTCTTCTTCTTCTTATTTTTTTTTTATTTTTTTTTTTTCTTCTTCTTCTTCTTCCTCCTCGTCCTCCTCCTCTTCTTCTTCTTCTTATTATTAAATAGAAAAATTCCCATGAGAAATGAAAGTTGAAAAAACATTCCATTGAAAAAAAAATCCTTCATATTTATATATTATCATTCCAATGTTTGTCCAAATAAAAAAATTTCAAATTCAATTTCATAAGTTCCCGTCTAAATATGAGTTTTTCCTTCGTCTGCCCTGATAACCTAGCTTTTATCTTAATTTAATTCAAAACAAAAATCTAGCTGGTAAGCACGCTGGGTCTACACTCATCAACATGAAATGAGATCAAGCGGGTCTTAAGTCTGCATGCCCACATACTCTCTACTCTAGTTAATCAATCATTCAACGTAAACAACAGGCACAGTCGAGACCCGTGCGGTGTGCTCAAACTTTAAATCAAGTTTATTTTCTGTCATTTTCAAATACTAGGGCGGATACCCTTGTAAGGGTATTCACACCGAAATCGTTGCACACAAATCGGAGGTAAGTGGAAACGTTTGAAGTCAAGGCGGGCAGGGAATGGTTGTCGCCGAAAAAGGTTGAGGGAATTTGGAAGAGAACCGGGCTGGTACCCTGCGGCGAAAAAGAAGGATTTTTTTTTTATTTTTTATTTTTTTTTATTTTTTTTTTTGTTCGTTTCGTTGGGCTGGTAGTGTCCGTTCAAGTGTACAATGGGGGGCAGGGGCAGCATTGTCCGTTCAAGTGGACCATTTTAGTAGCTATAAAATAGCCCACCCAACCGAAAGATCGGAAACCCACGTGAAACCTACGGAGGATACGAGAAGGTGGGGTCCCCGTTTTCTTTTACGGGTCGCCCGGAGCGGGCCCAACTCTTTCGCTACTTTTACGGATTTTTCTTCTGTAAGTAGTGTGGGATAGACAATATTGTTATTTTGTTGGGGATAGGGGGCTATGAGTAGGAGCCGCAGCTACAACAAAATGCTTGGTCTCGTGTTAGCGGGACCCCCACCGGCGGCCCAACCCCATCCTTGACCATCATGATTGGGGCGGGGGGCAACATGCATCCACTCGAATGGCCGGAGGGAGACAACAAAGGTATGTTCGCAGCGGTCCCCTGCATAAGCCTTAGGAGTAGTGTAGGTAGGTAGTGAAGGTGAATTGAAAGAATATGAAAGATGATGAAAGATTTGAGAGATTCAGAAGAATATAGCATAGCTAATAAGAAATTGAAAAAGGCAACCAAATCTTCATCAGTAACGTCACCTATGGGCGTACGCACACGGGTCGGATCCCACACTACAAACGGCAAGTAAAAAGTACCCTTTGCCCGGATCCCACATGTTTCCGCGTGCGTAGGGGTTGCTTCGGTATTTCGGCAGAGTGGAAAAGTTTGACGACGTGGCAGGTAGGGAGTGACTAGTGTCAAAGAAATATGGAGGAAAGCACAAAAGTGCTCGATACAGGTGGTGTGTGGCAAATATGGCCACACAACAGGGCGTGCTGGACATGCCTGATGCCACGCTGGCCCAACAGACAGTCCGCTGTAATGTCCATTTTTTTGTCCGCGTGGAGACCTGCCCAATGAAACCAGGCACAACCATCGACAAAGCTCCATGAACGCCGGGGCTGTGGAGTCCCCGTTTTCTTTCACAGCTCGAACGCCCTGCCTCCAGCTTTTTCATTTCTTTTTCAAGTTCTTTTTCGGGAGGTAGTGTGGGATCCGACCCTAAGACTCTTCAAATGTATCTGACGCCCATTACGGCCCGCCATGGGTGTATATGGCCATTGTCACGACCAAAGCTCACGGAAAAGGGTCAAGTTGTGAGTACGCCTTCTGTCTTAACATGCGCTCGCCATTTTCAGAACACACTAACACGAGGATCTTCTTGGTGTATCTGGGCGCAATCCCGACCAACCGTGTATGTACATGGCTACACGTACGTCCTCAGCTCAAAAGGTCATATTGGAAAAAAGAAAAAAGGTCATACTGTGAGTATACCCTCATGAAAGCCTTATGAGTAGTGGTAGGTAGGTAGTGAAGGTGAATTGAAAGATGTTTTTTTTTTTTTAAAAGCCACTTGGTCCTCATCAGGGGCGAGGTCGCACTAAGTTTAATGTATGAATCTGGACGTGTTTAAGGACAGATGGAGAAAACCGTGATTGATCTGCTCGTTCGCATCTCTGCTAAGAACCTATCCGATTCAGGTTCTTAATTAGATTGACTTTGCTAGTGGGACCTAGCCCCGCGGGACAACCATATATATTTTCTCTCACCTCACATACTTTCAACCGGCGTTATGGCATGTCATGGAACATATTTTTCTTTCACTACCTACTTACCACTACTCCGAAGGATATACAGGGGACCCCTGCAAACATACCTTTTTACCTCTCTTCGGCGAAGGGAGGTTACCTCTCTATGTGAAGAGAGGTAACGACATGTTTGCCCCTTTGCCCTAACGTTTAGAGTACTGTAACAGGGTTAAGGCTACCGGTGGGGGCCCGACTAAGACAAAGACCGAGCATTTGCTAGTAGTTGTGCCTCCCTTTTCATCTTGAAGTTTCCCCACCCCCTTGAAAGAATTTGAAAGATGATGAAAGATTTGAGACAAGCATACAACGTAGTTTTTGAAAAAAGAAAAGTATACCCTCATGAGTAGTCTGGCCTTGCTTCACATCCGATTCAAGCTCATATCTTGTTTCCTTTTTTTTATTTTTTTTTAACCACCATTACTTCCTAAAGTCGTTCCCATTAACAAGTCACGATTTTAGGAAACGTACGGGTCATTACAAAAGCGCCCAAATTCAATGACTCGAAACGTTTCTACTCTATTTTTTTCCACGGCCATAAGCTTAGCCAAGTACTGGTGGTTTAATGTAAATCAGGTAGACGGGTCTCCAACACGAGGTGATAAGAGTACCATCACGTAGGAGAACCCACCTTGTAGATTCCTCCGTTCCATTAGTGGGGAGATGCACCTGTGGGGAAACGGGTCCAGTGTCCCTTAAATAAAATATATGAGATTTAATGGATAGAACATGAGCATGGGGCATTGATAACTCCCCTTTCAAGGAATGATTGATTTTTGTATTTTGTGCATATCTAGAGTAGTGGAGCGAGGCCTAATACTGTTCGTTTTAAGGCCCCCTCCCCATTTCAGCTTCCCACCTGTTATAAAGGGTACACAAGCAATTCCTGTGACTATAATTCGACGCCCTAAGAAAGCGAGAGTTGTTGAAACTTTTGGGGTCTGCCTTCAAGGCCGTTTGCATTTTGCATGACAGTCGTTTTGAGTCTGCTGCACAATTTCAATGGTGATGGAAAATCACACATAACTTTGACAATGACTTGAATATCCATTTGACATTGAATCCATTAAGCAGAATACAGGGCTCACCACATACAATGCATGAAGAGAAACGACAACAAGTTGAACTAACTAAGCAAAGATTCATGAGTGATATAACACACAGACATCACAACAGACGGTGATGGTGAAATTCAGGAGATATAAAGACAAACACGACCTAAAAATTTCTCTTGAAAAATTAACGAAATCATTGTATTTCTCGTCAAAGTATCGAGTGGTTGGCACTACATGTTTCATCCGGCCGCCAGAGCCGAAAGTATCAGGGATCTTGACTGTGACGACGGACATAGAAATCAGATCATCGTGAATTCCTTTATATTGTTCTAGACTACGAGGACCTAGCCTACTTAGATTGTCGATATTAATATCGAGAAGGCCCAGAAAGAGAACAATACTAGAAAGAAAGAAAGGAGTAAAAGAAAAAAAGATTCTCGTGACCAGTCTCTCAAAAGATGTACGACAAAAGACCCTACACAAGGCCCATCTTTCAGAGCCTTATCAGAGCGGAAAACATGATAGCCTTTCATACCTTGGACCGCCCCCTGCTCATAAACCGCATTCAGCAGAAGGAAAATTTTCACCAGTCCATTGCAACTTGCAAATGATATTACCCTCATTCTTAAGGCTTCGCCAAATAACATGAAAGAAATCAGAACACTCACGGACAAGTTCTTTGTGGAATCAGACATGATCATTAACTAGGAAGTAAGACATAGGGATGGTGGATTCAGTCCAATGGAATTAGACCTCCAAAAGTACCAAGAGTGAAATAACTTTCTTCAAAGACCCCAATTAAAGTATTAGGGGTATCTTTGACGTATGAA